GCCGGCCCGGCCGCCCGCGGGGGCAGGCGGCGGGGAGCAGAGCCGCGCGGGCCGCCAGCGGCTGCGACGGGGGCTCTAGCCCGGGTGCCTGGCGCCGCCTCGGGTGCTGGGCGCCTGGGTGGGAGGGCGGTCAGAGCCGCCCGGCACGCGCAGCTTCGCCCTGGCGCAAGTGTCAAGTGTATTCCCAGCTCGCGCAAGGCGCTGCTGCCGCGGCRCAGGTGTCGCGGGAGCGTGGAAAGTAAAAGCAAAATACCCCGAAGTGTCCGCCTCTACCCGGCACGGGTGCCGTTTTTGTCAGGYCGGAGTTTCACACTTGGCTCTGATGCGGTGGCGTCTCTGCGTGGTGGCCCGAGCGGGGAGGGCTCCGGCTGCCCGGCAGCGCGCGGTGCCTCTTGCAAACGGCCGAGGAGAGTCTAACGCGTTCTAAATAAAGTAGAGACGTGTACACATTAAAAATAAAAGAGGMTGGGAGTTCCTTGTGGCAGGCGTTCCTGAGGAAAATCGGGGTGTGTTTACAGGGCTGCTTTGGAAAGTGCCGCTTTGTTCCCTGGGCCCGCCGTGGAGCGGCGTGAAGCGCGGCGCGTGTGCGCGCGGCGAGCCCGAGCTCGAGCCCGGCGCGCCCGCGGGGGAAACGGCCCGCGGGGGAAACGGCCCGCGGGGGAAACGGCCCTCGGCTGCGCGCGCTTGCTGCCCAAAACGCCCCGGAGTCGGAAACACCCGCCACTATCCATTCACTTATTTATTTCCAGATATTAAACAGGTGCTGAACTCGATGGAAGTCCGCCGGTAAAGTGGTTTCGGACTTAGAAACGAGAATGCTAAAAGTATATGCGCCCTTCTAGTGAAATCGGTACTAAATTTTCCCGTCTAGTGCTTGAGATTTGAGGTTGATGGAGCAGTTAGTTGCAGAAGTAGCCACTAATGGGAAAAAAATACCTTTCCTTGTGTTTGCATTTGGTTTTTAAACTTCACAGGTGTGCAGATGAAAATTTAAAAATTCTGGTTTGCATGGAGCYCAGATGGAACAGAAACTTCGCCTTTCCTGGCTTCTTAGGCTTTTTTGTTTTTAACATCGATTACTCGTTCAGATAAAAAGGTACCCCAAAACGGTACAGTTTGGCAGCCGTTCCTATTGCAAACTGGTTTAAAGACCATAAGCATGTCCGTAATCTTGAAATCTTCCCCCTTCAGTGGAAGGGGGGAAAAAAGTCAAATTTTGAATATGTATATGTTTTTTTTCCTGGTGAAGCTGGCATAAGAGAAGGCGTTTATATATCTGTATTTTCCCATGCAACTGAACACTTCCAGCAGTACTGTTTTTATGTTTGTACTTTCTTGTTATTTTTGCTTGCTACTTCTGCTCAGATCTGTTCTCCCTGTCCGGGGGAGGAAGCGGGGGGAATTGATCTCTGAAGGGCCGGTCAACTAATTTTCAGTTCCTTTGTGCGTGTGCATGCACAGAGAACAGAGCTTCATGCCAGAAGACTGCACAAATTAGTCTTGAATAGCTTTCTTTGGGGAATTTTAACATTGTAGCAATAGCTTGTACAATTTTACTCCAGGTGCAGCTTTCTAGCAGGCATGGGAGTGAGTGTAGCCTTCTTTTATCTATCACTTGAAGTAAAGATTTTTTTTTTTAACCAAAATTCTACACAATATTTTGCTAATTCTTGGTTCTAAGGCAAATACTTTAAATGTTGTGACGATTCAGTCTCAGTGACTCAGTGCTCCACACTTTAAAATGTTTGTGCTGTCCATGTGCTGCGTGGCACTCGGTTGAAGTTTTCCTTGTCTCAGTTTTCCTCCTGTTGCCSTTTTCATAATTTGTTTAGCTATTTGTTTCTCTTTGGCTGAAGTGCCCATTTTGATTTCTTCAAAGAAACTGACTTCTACCAGGCCAGTGTGTTTGCTTTGCCCTCCACCCCATTCCCGTGCTCCCTCCATGCAGGAGGGAAAATGTCCTGCTGACTTGGTTGCTGGTGAGGAGGAGGGGAAAGGGCGTTTGTTTTTTCTTTTCAAGGTGCTAATATTGCGCTTTCATAGCCATGTTACTTTAGCGTGAAAACCTTGATCCCGCAGCTCCCCTTTTCCCCGTGGTCGTCCTGAAAGCAGTGGCCTGCTCTTGTCCTCAGTTCTGTGAGTTAGAAGCTGGACAGAATAACCAGATATGTTTATGGTACTGAAAGCAGACATTTAATTTGTTTCTCAACTATAAAGCAGGCTGTTTATTTGTATATCCCTTTGCCGTCTCAGAAGATTGGTGTCCTTAGGTCTTTGACCGGGCATCGCATCAGGAAGCTCAGATCCCAGATGTGACAAGACCTGCTCACTGTAACCCAGAGATTTCAAACTGTAGTTCTCCTTCCCAATACCTTTTGGTTATGCAGATGTCCTGGAAGAGCCTCAGTAGTGGAAGTGTTAGTATCACTGCAGGCTTTAGGTGCAACTATCAGGCCACTTAACAGCATGATGTTCACCAGAAAAGGAGGAAGCACTTTAAAAGAGCTACAGCTTATACTTAACCACTCTTAACTCCCTTATCAAGTTACTGCTCTTTAGTGGCTGCTAATGTGCCGTTCCTATGAAAAGAGAGAAAGGAGAGCCTGTTTTGGTTAACCCAAAGCAGAGAGATGAGTCTTGTCTCTTAAGATCCTATTTATAGTACTTAGTTCTTACAAAATAATATGCATAGCAATTTCTAAAAGACTCTCATTAGCAGATCTTCGGAAGGAATAAATGCTTAAGGTGCTGCCAAGCTGGGGTGGGGGTGTGGAGAAAAAAACGCAGCAAGACTTTATTCTATTTATTTTCTACTGTAGCTTACAGCTGATCTTGACCTGCTCTAGTACACTGTCTGGTATCTGATCTGGGAGTTGCCGAATGGGTAACAGCCAGAGGTTGTGGTGCCTACATTCTTCCTTGCAGTTAGTGTGGGCTGGAGACRGCTCTTAAATTGAATGACAGTGATTGCGTGGCCCTGTAAAGTGGTGTATACACCTTATTAAGCTCGCTGCAGCTGCCTGTTCTGTGTGGMAGGCTAAGAACTACGCGACACAGACCTGCAGCTAGTCATCCTAGTTACCTGCTACTATACGTGCTTAGAGAACTGCTACTGTTCTTGTGCTGACAACTGTACTGTAACACCTTAAATGGCATCAGCCACATGAATGTGACAATCCAAGTCACCTGGTTAAATCCTTTAACCACAGGTTTTACCTGAGTACCAAAAGCGAAGCTGCTTTCCTAGGCAGCTTCAACCCCCGTTCCTCTTTTCCTGCTTTAGTGTTAATGGGCAGTATGCTTATTCTAACACAGGTTATTTTTGCATATTTTCTATTTTAGAACGGTAAAAATGGAAGAATAGTAACATAGCTGGAAATTAGCCTTTTGGTTTTGATCTAGAGCTGTCTCAATTGCTTAATATTTCCATGGAATGGTTTACTCATTTGTAAAGTTATATAAGGTGTCCCGTGTGTGGCTGTTGTAAAGCCCAGGCCAGGCCCACGGTAAGTGTTCCTGTGTAATGGCAGCCTTTGTCCTGCTTGGCAGAACCTTTCTGTTTRACAAGCACTTGGTGCTTCTCAGGTGAGTACCTGCTTCCCCTGGCAGCAAACGTGCTCACCTTGGTGCTGTGTGCTGCTTAGCCCTGCTGGTAGGTGGCATCACGGGCATAAACTCTCCAGGTCAAATAAAATCACTTCCTGACGTATCCTGTTCTCTAGATGACGTCTGAAAATGGCAAAAACATAATGAAATAATGAATCATTGTGTAGCCTTAACTTCTGTCAGTCAGCCTACCTATTCTGGATAAATGCACTTTCTAGGAGAAAACARGTAGAGCAGCTTTGGACAAATAAATCCTAACATAAGACTTAGACTTGCTTAGGATGTAAACTATTGTGTAAGGCCAGTTTGTTGAATCACTTTTTAAAGCCATGATTTAGATTTTTTTTTTTTCCAAATATTACTTTTTATAAAAGGTTGTATCAAGTTAGGTGTATCCTTAGTGATGTTTCTGTCTTGTGAAGAACTTGAGTTCTGCTTTTCAAGGCCACCTCTTCTTTTCAGAGATGTTAGGCAAGTTAAAATGTACTTACAGAAGATCTGTTATTGTTGAAAGCTTTGTTATAATGAGCTTGCCTCCATGCAAAGGTGCAGTGATTTATTTAAAGGTGTGGTTTAATTAAGGGTTTAAGTCCTATAAAGTTTAATTTATCTAATGTGGTGCAAGTGTGCACACAAATCTAAGTGAAACAGATTTGTTTGCATCTATGTGCTTAGGAGTAGAATTAATAGGACTTTTTACACTGTATTTCTATCCAGAGTCTAGAGCAATGTATTTTAAYGAACTTGGTGCTTCTTTGAGGAGAAAAACAACAGCCTAGTTTAAAGACACGGCATGTTTCAGTCCTGAGCCAGCAGGTACTGGCAGTATGAACAGTTGTATGCAGGTCTCTTAGTCCCAGAGTGTTGAGCCACTGTGTGCCAGTGTCAAGCAGTCAAGCCACTGATGGTCGTGTTTATTGGGGCTCAAAATAAYTGAGTGCCATTACATATATGGTGGGACTTACTTGGATGGAGATAGTGATTGTGGTCCAGGATGCGAGTTTGTTATACTCTCACTTACAAAGGTGATACAGTTGGGTATTTATGAACAGCAGCTTAACACCTTTTTATTGTTCATAATTGCAGATTGAAATATCATGGACAGAAGATAGCGTGGGTGATGTGGTTCCCTGGAGCTCCTCCAGCGCTTCAATTTTAACATGGATAAGTGTAAGCACATCGGGCGCCTGCGCCTGGCCCAAGATCATTCCATCCTGAATCCCCAGAAGTGGCACTGCGTGGACTGCAACAGCACGGACTCCGTGTGGGCCTGCCTCAGCTGCTCGCACGTGGCCTGCGGCAGGTACATCGAAGAGCATGCACTGAAGCACTTTCAGGAGAAGGGGCACCCGGTGGCGTTGGAAGTAAACGAGCTCTACGTTTTCTGCTATCTCTGTGATGATTATGTTCTTAATGATAACGCGACTGGAGACCTCAAGCTGTTGCGCAGCACGTTAAGCGCCATCAAGAGCCAGAACTATGAGTGCACAACCCGGAGCGGGAGGACTCTGCGGTCCATGGGTACGAGCGATGACTCCTACCCTTCGCCCGGCGGGGCCCAGGCCCTGCTCCGGCAGGAGGACCGCATGTTCACGGCGCTCTGGCACAGGAGGCGGGCGCTCATGGGCAAAATATTCAGGTCGTGGCTCGCGTTGACACCTAGTGGAAAAAAGATTTTGGAAGAAGAAAAGCGCTGGGAAGAAGCGGAGAGGAAAAGGGACGATGCTAGGAAGAGAAGACAGGAGCGAAAGCGTCAGTTAAAGGCAGAGATGGAAAAGATGCCTCCAAGAAAGAGCCGTCGTTTACAAAATCAAAGCAAAATGTTCTCAAAAACAGCACCTTGCAGGCCAGAAACATCTCGGCGTGAAGAATCAGTGGCAGAGTTGAAAGAAACGTATACCTCAAATGCAGTAAGATTGAAAAAAATAAGTAACTCTCCAATTAAACGACGGCCCACGGTGACTCCTGGTGTAACAGGACTAAGAAACCTGGGAAATACTTGCTATATGAATTCTATCCTGCAGGTATTAAGTCACTTACATATTTTTCGTGAATGCTTTTTAAAGCTCGATCTCAGCCAAACTCAGGAACTGCTGGCAACAGCTGCCAATGGTAAAACGAGATCTTCATCTAAACAGCCTTCAGCTAGTGCCTCAGCATTACATGTGAATGACAACCATGAGAAAGTAAAGAGATCATCCCTGTCCATGAGGCGACCCAGTTTATCTTCTGGATTAAGTGGAGGAGCATCAAAAAGCAGAAATATGGAACTTATTCAGCCCAAGGAGCCAAGCTCAAAACATATTTCTCTTTGTCACGAGCTACATACTCTGTTCCAAGTTATGTGGTCTGGCAAGTGGGCACTGGTATCTCCTTTTGCCATGCTCCACTCTGTATGGAGACTAATCCCAGCCTTCAGGGGATATGCCCAGCAGGATGCTCAGGAATTCCTCTGTGAACTTTTGGATAAAGTGCAGCAGGAACTGGAGACCACGGGGACCCGATACCCAGCTCTCATCCCCGCATCTCAAAGGAAACTTATAAAACAGGTTTTGAATGTGGTTAACACCATTTTTCATGGTCAGCTCTTAAGTCAGGTATGTTTTGTGCGTGTCTGTTCTTTTTTTATTTATTATTTTTTAAACCTCTACTTAGTGATTTGTAGCTATGGAGTTAGATGGGACACTAATAGGCATCCTTCAGAGGTGGTTAAGTATGTAACTACTGAGGAGAGGTGGAGAGGATATGCCGGTGACAGGTAGAGCAGAAACATCACCTAGGTGCTCCTAAAGCTCTCACTAGAAGAGTCACTTGATAAATAAAACAGTTATAAATTTGCTCTTATAAGCTGCACTCTTGCAGCATATTGTTGAGAGCGAAAAATTAGACCCAAGCTTAGGACTATCTGCACTGCTAACAGACTAACAGGATGCACCTGTGCTTAAGACACCAGCTTAAACAAGCGACATAAGCTCTCAAGGAATACAAGGCTGCTGAGAACTGTAGGGCCCTACTGTGAAGCATTAAATGATGAGTAATAATAATGATTTTACAGTTGAAGCACCTAGTTGACTATCATGATGGTACATAAAAGGCAGTGTTAAGGATGGCACTCTGGTCTATGAAAATTGTTCCTATAATAGGGCTATGCAAGAAAATATTTAGATTGCTTCAGCAGATAGTCTGAACTTGAGCTCGACATTCTTTCCTACGGGTGCTATATACAGGGATACTGATCCTTTTCTCCCACTACACAAAGATATGGAAGGCCCTGTCAACAAGAACCCAAATTGGGGTGGAGGCAAGAGTTGTTTTCCCTCTTCTCTGACTACTGCCTTTATTTCCTTGACTGCCTGTTAAGAAGTGTCCGCTAACTTTTGTGCATATCCCCACTGAATATGTGTACAAAGATCCGAGAACTGACTGAGCCGGTGGAAAAGCTAGTTTCTGTAAAACTCCTTCAAAAGAACTAACTAAATTGCAGGATTAGAGGTTGATGAAGTTGCAGAGTGGTCTTTAGTGTACATGTGCACATGTTACTGAGATGGTGCAGAAACACATGAAAAATGTGAGGAGATACTCTGTAAATGAGCAGAGATTTTAGATGAAACAACAGAAACTGTAGATTTTGCCTCTATTCTGTCTACCTGGTTTAGTATTTTTAGTATGTGAAGCTAAAAAATCAAAGTATTCTGTAATGGAGATAGGTTTGCTATTTGCTACTGTATCCATAAACTTTATAGAAAGGTAACAGAACTCTTGATTATGGTTGCATTTTAGCATATGTTAAATTTTAGGTCTTAACTACTGGACACTGCTATAATCTACTAATTAAACGGATCATCCTCCACTTCCATTTGGCAGAGTGTAAGCACATGGCATATCTCCTTTTCTCAGAATAGCCAACATACCTTGTGTCAGAGCTGCTCTAATACAAGCATCYAGGATAGCTATTATGTCAATGAAATTTTCCATTTGAAAATCTCGCTCATTTCCAAAATAGTAATCATAGAATCATTAAGGTTGTGAGGGACCTTTAGAGGTCATCTAGTCGAAACCCCCTGCACACGCAAGGACACCTAGAGCATGTGGCACAGGGCTGCGTCCAGGAACGGTAGGAAGATCGCCAGAGAAGGAGACTCCACARYCTSTCTTGGCAACCTGTTCCAGTGCTCTGTCACCCTCACTGTTATTATTTTTTTCCTTAAGTTTCTGTGGTTCTCTTGGTGCTTCAGTCTGGCCATTTCCTCTCGTCCTATCACTGGACACCACTGAAAAGAGGCCGGCCTCGTCCTCCTCACTTGCTCCATACTTACATACACAGATAGATTCAGCCCTTGGCCCTCTCTTTTAGGCTGAACAGACCCAGCTCTCTCAGCCTTTGCTCAYAGGGCAGATGTTCCAGGCCCCTGATCATCCTGGTAGCCCTGCGCTGGACTCTCTCCAGCAGCTCCACATCCCTCTTGTACTGGGCAGCCCAGAACTGGACACAGTGCTCCAGATGTGGCCTCACCAGKGCTGTGTATARGGKGAYGATCACCTCCCTCGACCTGCTGGAGACGCTCTTCTTAATGCACCCCAGGATCCCGTCGGCCTTCTTGGCCRCCAGGGCACTGTTGCCTCCTGSTCAACTTGTCGCCCACCGCAACACCCAGGYCCCTCTCTGYGGGGCTGCTCTCCAGAAGGTCAGTCCACAGCCTGTACTGGTATCCAGGGTTATTCCTCCCCAAGTGCAAGACCCTGCACTTGCCTGTTGAACTTCATGAGGTTTCTCACCATGCAGTTGTCCAGGTCYGTCCCTCTGGATGGCGGTGCCATCCTTTGGGGTATCAGCTACTGCTCCCAGTTTGGTGTCATCAGCAAACTCGCTGAGGGGGCATCTGTCCCTTCATCCAGGTCGTTGATGAATGAATTGAACAGGACTGGCCTGAGGACTCACCCCTAGGGGCATGCTGCTGGCTACAGACTCCAGCTGAACTCTGCACCGCTGATCACCCCCGAGCTCTGTCATGCAGCCAGTTCTCAATCCGCCTCACTGTCCACACATGTAACCCACACTTCTGGAGCTAATGCTGCCAGTAAAACCAGGTTGTCTTAAGAATTCTGAAGGACAAGGCTTTGGCTTTGTACGTGGAAAGAATGTATTGTACATGGCAGAATGAGCTTTAAAACTTTTAGGCAATTATTTTTCCTCTCCTTGCTAAGATTTATGCGTATTTGTTTAGGTAGGTATCTGTCACAGCTGGTACCAGCAGCCAACTTGATCTTTTTTTAAATTACTAATTTTAAAGCTGGTGGCAGAGAGGGAAGAAAGCATCCGTGCAGGGCCGGAAAGAACCACCTCTTGCTGAAGTGGCACATCTTTCCCAATACTGACTCTTAAAATCAGGGATGGCATTTATATACTTAACTTTTACCTATTTACAATCTGTAAAAGTGCTGCAGTTTCTTTCTTAAAGATAGTTGAAGCCAYTGCCCATGGTGTTTATTGAAAATCAGGTGGGATCTTTACGCAGAGTATTTTTTAAAAATACTCTGCAATTCAGTGAATAGGGGAGATTGAGAAGCTGACTTCTCTGCTGCAGTTGCTTTCCAGKGCCAGGGTGATTTCCAACTCTAGGTGACTAAAAATTTAATATACTTAATATACAGTATGAAAGTATTAAAGATATTTGATGCTGTGAGATACTCAAGTGCAGTAAAATCAATCGCTTGACCTTTACACCTAAGGAATACTATGAACTGCTCGTACAATGCATACAGGATCACTTACAGTGCAGATAAGCTGTATGTTTACTTAGGTTTCACTGTACTTTTGCATGTGCAATAAAACATTCTCCCTCTTCTAGCTGTTTTATTTTAACCTTAAGGGAAGTAATAATCCCGAGTTTGCTGCCCCTCTGTTGCCATAGAAATGGCCGCATGGWGCAAAGCCCTACGTGGCTGCAGAATGGAGAAAGAGGAGAAAACAGGGAGTATACGAGCCCCTTGTTCAGGCTGCCTCTTGATAACTAGGAAAAAACCTCGTGTGATGTCAAAACAATTACATGTTTTAAGTGAATTGGCATGTTTTCTCTTGCTTTTCATTATGTTCTCTGTCAGATCCTTAGAACACATGATGTACTTCCTGATGTTTTCCTCATTTGCAGTATTTTTTTTTTTTTTACAGTTTTATTGAATACTAAGCTGTGTAATGATTAGAGACTCATTGCAAATAGACTTGTAGAGAAGGAAAGAATTCAGACTAGTATGGGTAGAGATGACTGGATTGCTTCTTGAAATTTTATTTTAATCCCAATGTCCTTTTTAGGATTCTTTTTCTTTTTTCTTTTTTTTTTTTTTTTTCTCAGTACAGGTTGTGACACTTGAATACCCAATGCCTCTGAAGAGAGTAGAGATAGGATATGTAGCTACAAAAACTCCCCCTCTGTTCTTTYCCACATGCTAGTTATCCTCCAGAGACTGTCTGGCCTGTAGCTCCCCAGGTCCTTGCCTCCTTGAAGGTAGGAGAGACATTTGCTGTCTTCCAGACACCAGGAACTTCCCTCATTGCCWGGACCTCTTTGAGGATAATGTGGCCTTTTTGAGGATAATGGAGTGGCCTTGCAGTGACATGAGCCAACTTCCTCTCTCCTTTTGGTTTGGAAACTGAAAGATGCTAATTCAAGGCAAGCAGAAAGAGAAGGATAATCAATGTTTTCTGTGACTAAAAGCAAACCAGTAAAGCAGGGGCAAAAATAAAATTTTTGCTGACTTCTATGAGAGCTGCTTGTCAGCCTGCTTCAAGGGAAAAAATAACACTGAAATATGAATATGGTATTTAATTGAAAACTGGCACACGTTGCAAAGCAGTAAGTAGTTARTGATTCCTTTGTAGTGCTGAGTGAATTCAGATTTAATGTAAATGACTAAAGAAATACCCAGTTAAGTGTCATTTGTATCATCTTTTTGAACGGGTCAGGAACCCTTTGGAAGTGGTTTCTGTTGGGGCAGTTTTGAAAAGTCTTTTCCTGATGGGTCTGCTGCATTCAAATCTGGTGCCTCATGCCAAGTTTTGGGCTAGCTCTGAGAAGCAACCTGTCCTTGGTGATGAGTTTTTTTCTGATAATTGGCAATTTGTATTGCTCTATACATTATCAGGAGCTAAAGCTTTCATTGCTTGTGGTCACGTACAACTCCCTCTCCCCCAGGAGGTCACATTCCAGTGGTCACTGGTGCTGTTGCAGAGAACATCTAGGCAAAAAGGCCCTTTCCCACTTTGCTAAGCACTGCGCAAGAACAGCACATATTTCCAAAGAACTGAATACACGGGAGACCAAACAGGGAAGTAGCTTCTAACAGAGTGTGTGCCTTATATTTAAAGGGGAAAAAAGACTTGTGAGGAGAGGCGTTTCCTTTTCTTGGGTCAGCCAGGGTATTGAGGGCAAAGTGGCTGAGAGAAGGGGCTGTGAGAAAGCTTTGATGGAGGTTAATTAGGCCCTTCAGGTTTGGTTAATCTGGTGTGAAYTGAAGCTTGGGGTGTGTGATGAAGGTGACTGCCATGCAGTGGTCCTTAGGAATTCTGAAAGCTGTAACATGGAGGGAGAACTCGAGGTAGGTTACAGGAGCATTGGCAGTTAAGCCAGCCCCTGAGCTGTGTTGCCATTTCTCTGTTCTGCTATTCCTGTCTGTGCTTTTCTGTGTTGCCTAAAGTGTAAAATCCTCATGCAGTTGCTTTCCAGCTGCATCAAGGCAGTGTCTGAAGTTATGCTGTAGTACTTCCAAGCACTGAATCTCCAGACCAAAGGTTGCTGAGGTTTTGCTGGCGCTACTTGGTTGAAGACACGGTTCATTTGGGTTTGGTGCCTACTCATCAGCATAAAGCTCTGTTGTCATCTTACTGAGGAAATACAGGATGGGCCGTAACGGGGACAGTGTGACAGCACGTTCCCAGAAATGCCCTCTTAGTTTTATTACTGTGGAAAAAAATCAGTTCTCTTTCATGTAAATGTCTCCATATAGTAAGAACTGTAGTAGCAGAGCACAAAAAGGAGGCTGGCTCTCTTAACTATTCTTAAAAGGTATATGTGTAATAATGAGAGCAGCTGTAGTAAAGGCAGGTGCAGGGACCGCGGGACGAGCAGGGCCGGGGTGGGAGCTGGCTTCCGCCCCAGCGACGCGCCAACTATTTTCCCTGGCTGCTTTTAGGCCAAGTGCCATCCAGGGCAGAGGGGCCCTCAAGTTACTGCTGCCGGTACAAGGACCTGCGTTGAGCTTGGATCGAGCAACCTGATCCAGCTCCTTTGGGGCTGGTCTTTACCCAGGGCTCAACGCTGAGCTTAAACCCAACAACTGTATTTAGCAGCACTGTTGCAAGGGCTGTGATAGGCCAGGGCAGAGCACAAGCAGGGCTCTCAAACAGGCTAAAACCAGTGATTTACTTGCTTTGCCCTMATGTGAACTTCTTGTATTGTAAATCACTGCCAGTTCATGTTTGTTTCTCTTAATCTGCACAACTCATTCAACCTCCCTGTGAGCCTTTCGTGAAACGTCAGGGGTTTGACGGAAAGCACAGGAACCTGCCCGTGCCGCTGGCCGCTAGCGGAGYGCGGGATAACGGGATGCTGGGGAAAGGGGGCCGGCAGTCAAGGGCAGCTCGTGCGGCCACGGGACCGGCTCCACCGGGAGCCTGGCTCCGAGCACCGGCTGCAGGTGGATCCTGCTGCTGCCCTCGGGAGCCCGGCCTGCCAAGAGGGGCACTCGCAGCCAGCTCCGCTTTTGCCAGCCCCCATTCCTCCTCCTTTATCCCTAAAACCACTTTTATGCAGCTCCTGTTCCTGCCAGCCCCCGTTGCCCCTCACTGGGCGCTGAGTGAGCGCGGGAGCCGCCACGGTTGGGCTTGCGCCCTGTCCGTGACGCTGGGGCCGGAGCGAGAGGCGCGTGCAAATCCCGGATAAGTTGGAAGGCTTAATTGGGTAGGGTGGAAGCAGGAGGAGCATCGGACACCGCAGCTGGAGCCACCGAGCCGCTCAGTTCTCTGAGGACACAAATCCCATATGCTCACACTTGCCTGGGATGGGCAGAGCAAAAATTAAAGCTGGAGCAGTGATTCTTGCTTGGAGATAGGATTTATTAACTAGTGGGGAAAGAGATCTTTTAAATAGCCTGGATTGTTCAGATCATAGCCGAGAAACCTCCTGACTTGTCAAATCATCTGTGCTGTGTTCACGTGTATACTTTATCCTAAGCCYATTAATCTTCTAGGTACATTCATGTTCAACAAATTCCTGCTTAAGTAACTCTTCAATTAAATAATTTTTGACCCCCCCAAATCACCCATTTTTGACAGCAGAAATCTGTTAGTCATTCTGTGTTTATGCTGGAGTTGGCTTGAACTGTAGCCAAACGTACAATTTGTCTCCAAGTYGAGATTCCAGCTCTGAATTACTAATAGTTTGTGGCTTTGAAACACCGCCAGATGTTAGCACTTGCAAAAGGAGCTCCTGTCAGTGTATGTTAAAACAGGAGATTCCTCTCGTGCCCTGTAAATTTAAAGAATTTTTTGTTGCTTTTCGATATACAAGACAGTGGCAGGTCGTTCCCCTCGGCACTCGAGGCAGCTCGCAGCGTATTTGTGCACAAATATTCAGGCACATGGTAGCTCACGCACGGCACCTATGTAACTGTGGGGCCTAAAATGTTGATTAAATAGAGAATAACAAGAACACCTGCAAGAAAATTTCCCTAAAGTGATAGATCTGCCCTTATTGTATATAAATGATGACGACTTAGCAAGGTGACTAATGATGCCACAGCAAGCGTTCAAAAGAAAAAAAGGAGATCTTGAAAATTGATTTTCTTTTTTTTTTCCCCCTTTTTACTCTTTTGTGGGTGCACTAATGTCATCCAAAAGTTGTCCCTGAAATATATACAGAAGAGCAACACAGAGGCGTGCCTGTTAAATAGCAGTATTCAGATCCCTTGTGGATCTTCATTCCTCTCCTACTACATCTTTGTATTAGCTGTTACAACAATTTGTGCTTTCCTAAATGGGARGTGTGATTATAGCGGCCCTCCTTTGGTAAATTAGTTCCCCTTCTGGTTGCAAACGTGAGTAGATACCTGATCCTTCATTCACTGTAAAACACGAAGGGTGGTGCGTCTTGACAGGAAGTCACATACGAAACCTTTGAGTTCCGTTAATCCTTTTGGGGGGAAGTTTGTTAACTGGGGGGGAACGGTAGGAGTGCGTTGGATGCTCGGGAGCGCTGTCCAAGCCGCAAGGAGTCCCGTTACGGTGCAGCTCCCCGTGCAGGGCCTTGGCACTGCCCGAGTTAGGGATCACCTGCGGCTGCTAAGCCACCCAGACAGCTGCACAGCGAGACTCGGGGAAATAGCTTTGTGTTTAAAACAGCTACTGCTTCCAGTTTGCTTTCCTAAAAAGCCAATGCCTGTCATAGATTAATTTCCCTCTGCTTGTTATCCTACATTTTCCAGGTTAACTCACTTCATTTCTTGATATTTTATTTATGTTCTGTCTTACTGCTTGTCCTTTCCCTAGTGTGACGATGGATCCACTTACTGAAAGAAGAAATAAATTATTTTTACCTGTTAATTTTTCTTTGAAGAAGTGTGCTTCCCAATCCAGGCTTCCCTGGAAGACTTAAAAAGTAAGAAGGATATGACTTTAAAACCCCTCAGCTTTTTTTTTTCCCCTTCCTTTCCTTTTTTTTTTTTTTCTTTTTTGATTAAAGCTAAATTATAATTTATTTCTTTCATGTACATAATCCTTTTGGAGTATTTCTTTTTGGCGAAAAGGCTCGTGTGACTCCACCTGCTTTCCCTTGGACAGTCCCAGGCAGACCCTCTTGACGCTGCTTTTGTTTCTCAGTAAACCATAAGAACACTTACCCGTTTGTGATAACAGTATTGGACGTGCTGCTGCAGAGAAAGTAAATTAGGTGTTCATCATTTCTTTTCAGTTAAATTAGTTTTCTTTGCATCAGTGATCCCTGAAAAAAAAATTACTTTTTTTTGTTCGATCTACATCGTTACGGTACACGTTTAGCAAAGTAACTTTTTCTGGATGTGAGAAACTTGTGAGGTAATTCTTTTTCAGGTTACATGCCTTGCCTGTGACAATAAATCCAATACTGTAGAGCCGTTCTGGGACCTGTCCCTGGAGTTTCCGGAGAGGTATCACTGCAACGGCAAGGAGATGGCGGCCCAGCATCCCTGTTTGCTGACAGAAATGCTCTCCAAGTTTACAGAAACCGAAGCTTTGGAAGGGAAGATCTATGCGTGTGATCAGTGCAACAGTGAGTAAAGGCAGTATGTACTCAGGCATATGTTCTCCCTGTAAAATGTTTATTAAGTGGGCAGTGAAAGCACAGCAGGACAACACTTCAAATCTTAGAAGTATATAGTGTTAAAAGCAAGCAAACAAAAGCTCCTTATGTCCTGCTGTGGTGGTCATGGCAGCTATTTCTCTCTACCTAAAAGACAAAATTGTTGAAAGGATATTTTAAAATGTGATACATTTTCTTAAATTGAGTCTCATCTCAATCATCTTTGTGATGTTCTCAGCTGAAGCACCCCTCAGCTTTCTAAATTAATGCAAATAACTTCAGAGACCAGAGATACTTTATATTTATATCTAATAAAATAATCCTCGCAGAATGGGTCACAAAGTGTGTGGTTATTTAAGGAGGTGCTTTCAGTAGCTGTTTAGGCCCGTGGGAAATGCTGTTATCTAGATCTGTATGTGCGTAACTGTGTGTTTGGCCTCAGCAAAACGCAGGAAGTTTTCTTCTAAACCAGTTATACTCACAGAAGCTCAGAAGCAGCTTATGGTGTGTCGGCTACCTCAGGTTCTCAGATTGCACCTTAAACGGTTTCGGTAAGTAGTGCTGCAGCAAACGCCAATCTTGCAAACTGAGCAACGTAGGCCTCTCCCATTGATCCTTCGGCCTCGGTGATTTTCAGCATCTGTCTTGGGAATCCCGTTAAGCTTAGGAGCTTAATGATGAGAAATAGTTTCTAGAATTTATTTTCCCTGTTTAATTAAACATCAGTAAGATACATCACAAGCAGGGAACTGACCTTTTAGCTACCAACTCCTAACTACTTCAATAGCAAATTAAACCATCCTTTTTCTTTGGTCAGACCTGATAAGCTTGCTSTGAACTCTGTTATCCTCATGTTATCCTCGGGTACAGTGAAGGATCCATTGTGTTCCCTGAGGTACAGGCCGAGATGGGACTCGGTCCGTGGCTCTCGTARCTCTCGCACAAGTGCAGTAACCTGAGAGCAGGGAGGTGAAGAGTGCATGTCTTTGAAATCTTAGTCAAGGCATTGGCACAAAAGTCTGGCCTGAATGGGGAAAGAAAACAAAATTAAGATGCAGTATGTGGGAAATATCAGACTGCACTCACCAGGCTCATGGACATATTTTACAAGGCCTTAAAGTAAAGGAGAAGTGACAGGGGAAGCCTGGAAAAAAAAAAATATGTATGAAAATAAGCATGTATTTAACGTGAAGATGCTGACAAGGATAACTGTTGTAGTTGCTCAGAATTCTGTGTTTTGGGTTTGTTTTCCTTCAGGAAAAAGCTCCATTTCTCATTTGGCTTGGCTCCGCAGGTGGTCGGGACGCAATCACCGGGAGAAGATCGGCGTGCACGTGGCTTTCGAGCAGATGCTGAACATGGAGCCCTTCTGCTGCCGGGAGTCCCCGCGCGCCCTGCTGCCCGAGTGCTTCATCTACGAGCTCTCGGCCGTGGTGATGCATCACGGCAAGGGCTTCGGCTCGGGCCACTACACGGCCTACTGCTTCAATTCGGAGGGAGGTAAAGCCCGGAGCGGGGAGGAGGGCGCTCCTCTTCCTYGGGAATCTTAGGGCCCTCTCTGGAAAGCGCGGGGTGTCACCTGCAGCAGAGCCTGCCTGGAATGACAGTCACTGTTGCGTAGAGCCAGCAACGGCTCAGCTGTTGCATCGACCAGTTAAAAATTTAGTCTGGTTATAAACTCCCCTGAAGGTGGAAAGAAGCTAAGCTGGGCTTATCTATTGAAGCGGTGTAGTATTTCTATGTAACTTCTTCACTGGGACTGAGCACTAGTTAGTTCTTCAATACGATGAAGGTGTCCTGTGTCCTGATTATTTTCTTTGATATATTRCTTCCTTCTAGGGTTCTGGGTACACTGCAACGATTCCAAACTCAACATGTGCACTATTGAGGAGGTCTGCAGAGCTCAGGCCTACATTTTGTTCTACAGCCAGCGACTCTCTCAGGAAGGCGAACAGGGTCAAGCGCCGCGTCCCAGCACGGCTGCACCCCCGCAGCCCGCACGGCCGCCTGGCTGCTCCGCACAGCGCGGCAGCACCTAAGCCAAAGGCCATCCACTGTGTGTATGGGGAAAAAAATAACTCTCAGAACTATATATTTTTCTAAAAAGTGAAATGCAAGTACGATTATTGGACTTTTTTTTWAAACTTTGAGTCTGTACAATGTCTGTATACTTTTATATTGGCTAAAGTACTCTTTACAATTGTTAGTAAAATTTTTATTGACAATAAGTAACTGTATAAGTTCCTAGAATTTCAATTCAGCTATTTTTTTAATGAAAAAAARGRAAAAAAAAAAAAMCAAAAATAGAGATTGCCATTTGCATTTAACTTTTACCTCAGGCTGTTTTTTTGTATTTGGGAATCTTTTTGAATTGGTTTAGAAAAATAACTTTCAACAAGCAACTGATTTTTTTTTTCAGGTTTATTTTCTCTACATGCTTGTGTACATTTTATAGTTTAGTTCTAATGATATCATGACTCATGTCTGCAGGAACTGCTACTAGATAATAGAATATTAACATCCACCAGCAAAGTGTCTTTTACACGTCAGTGGGTAACTGAACTTTTCTTAGGAAACTCTGTTCTACGTGACTCAGATGAAAGTAGTTCTCAAGCTTTTCCCCACGGCCTAAAGAGAGCTACACTAAAGATACACTTTGATAGAAATTCTTGAAAAAATGAAATTAAGGAAATAGAGCATGTGCTTATTTGAGTGTAAGTATTTAAGCAGGAGTGGTTTTATAGCACAAGAACATATGTTTACTAAGACTTCAGTGTTTTAGCCTTAATCAGTTTGACAATTTAAAATTCAAGTGCCAAATTCCAAGAACTACCTTTGACACCTAGGGGCTTTTTMTTCCAAGAACTTGCAGAGCTTTCTTCAAAGCAGCTCCGGGAAGGTTAGTGCCTCCCTCGTGCATCAGAGGAGCCTGCCCGGACGCGGAGCGGCTCCGTCCGCTTCAGGACTCCCCAGCACAAACTGGTGGAAAGAAACTGTCCCGGTCGGCTGAGATACTTTAACCAGGGCTTTGGCTTCGTCTGCTGCAGCTGCTGTTGTTCTCCACCCTCCTACCACGAGCATTAAGGGATCTGTGCAGTGGGAGAATGCAACAAGCCTGAACTGTCTGTTTTTCTCCACATACAGGAGTTAATGCCAAATAAAAAATTTACTTGTGAAGTTATTTTGCATAAATACTATGCAGATTGTTACCTCATCTTTTGCAAAGTTTATACCTCAATAAAATGCCTCAGTGTGGACAAAAAAAAGTGTGTACTGGAATAATTTCCTACATGATCAAGTGCTGTATGGATTTCTCACTTTTCTTTTGCCTAGGGTGAGCTAAGGCATGAGTTGTCAACACAGCTTAGCCCTCTGTCACTGATTAACAGCTGGCTTGAGTCATTACTTTAAGGTAAGTGAAATTTCAGCTTCTCAGTACATTCTGGTTAGGGGCAGTTCAGGAGCAGGGAAAGGAAGGGGGGGAGCTGTGCTAACTTTCCCTCAACGCTTCCGAGGGTTTTTCCCAAGAACAGCTGAGGCAGCTGAGCAGAAGCCCTAGAGCCCTGGCCTCAGTGGAGGAGTCGAGGCCAGAGCGGGGCTCCTGCCGTTAGACCTGCAGAGGCGGCGCTCGCCCGCCCCAGGCACAGGGCTTGGCAAACACCCCCTGGCCTCCGTCCTCCCACCGGCTCCTTGGAGTAGCGCCCGGAGTTACAGCTGCCTTCCAGAGAGCACAGAGCCGAGTGCCCGTCCGGCCTGCGGAGGAGCAATTCCCGGGCACTGCTGCTGAGCCAGAGTCCACACGGGTTCCAACGTGCCAGCTCTGCAGCCACCAGCTGTGTACGGCTGGGCGCAGTGGGCACGGCTGGGCGCAGGGCAGCCCTGCCAGCTACGGCTGGGCGCAGTGGGCACGGCTGGGCGCAGTGGGCACGGCTGGGCGCAGGGCAGCCCTGCCAGCTACGGCTGAGCGCAGTGTAGCCCTGCTGCTAGTGTGTGGTGCAGGCGCTCCCCGCTTCAGCAGCCAGAGCTAGGGTCCTCGCTCCAGCAGGAGCTTCCACAGGAGCTTCAAGAAGATTCTGGGTGCGAGGCCAGGGCGCTTTCCTCCTCGCTGCTGTCATGCAACGGGCACTCAGCAAAGGGGACGGGGGGAGGTTCTGGCCATGCCAAGGGGCACTCAGCACAGGGCTTGGGCTGGAGGTTCTGCTCCGGCACCACCTTGCTGGGAGCTGCCRCCAGCCCCGCTACCTGCTGCCTCCGTACCCAGGGCTCCATATCCTGCCTGCCCTCCACTTGGTGCGCTGCACAACCCATCCCACCACTAAGAACGTGGTGAAGCAGTCCTGCAGGAATTAGATGAAAGGTGCAGCTCTATTACATGAGGAGTCATTTCTTGGCAGCCAGCCACAGCATGAACATGCACAGAGACCATAGGACATGCTMGTTACAGGTCGTGTTTCTAACGAGCTTGGTCAGTGCCTGCTGATGACTCCCTGCCTATTACTGGTGCTGGTCTGCAGCGCTTTGACAGGACGGCTGGGGCTGGAGGGCTCTGCCAGCCACCACRCAGGGCAGCCCCTCCTGATCCAAGCAGGTCGACAGGAGCAGGTTCCTCAGGATGGCTCCAGGGGGCTGAATACATGTCCAAGGCTGGGCACCCTGCCCCTGTGTGGGCACCCTGCTCGCGGGGCTGGGGGACCACAGAGTGGTCCTGCTCCGGGGAGCTCCTAGGACCCACATGTTGACAGCGGCGAGGCAGGGGCTTGGTCCTTCTTGGTCAGRCTTGCACAGCAGACACCCCAGGCCCAGAGGCAACCAGGCAAAAGGCCTTCTGCCTGCCTTGCTGCTGCCTCTGCAGCAGCGTAGCTTTCCCCAGCAGTGATTAAAAAAAAAAAAAAAATGACTGTAACTTTGCATTAAAGAAAAGTCAGCATCAAGATAAGAGCACAGTTAAAGCTGTAGGGTTTTTAGTCTTGACTGCAAGAATTGGTCAACTGTTGTGACAAAACCACACATTTTTGCTATAAAAACCCTAAAAAAGGAAGCACCACACACTTGTCTAAAGGGTTTTTACTTTTTTAAAAGTTCTCAACCAATTCAAATTATAAAAGCAGAACTGCCTCTTGATTCCATTTAGGAAAAAAAACATACTATTGAAAAAATTCATATACAAATAACATCTTGCTTTAAAGCACCCTATACATTTCTCAAGTTACACGGTGTCTGTCTCAACCGCACCCTTGCAGAAGCGTTCGGCCTGAACAGYGTTTTCTGACCGACTTGCAGCTCCGCCGCTTGCTGCTGTTTATGAGGCAGCTAATAGGTGTTTCCTGGAGTGCTGTGTACTGACAAGCTCCAACTGCAAAGCCCTGGCAAACCATTAACCAGGCCAAGCCAACAGGGTGACCTGTTGGGAAAACATTTGCAGTGAGTCATGTCCTCAGATCCCGTCATTGACTKTCCCACATTCCACTCACCCTGGCTTTGCACTTTTACTCTACCAGGGATATCATTTCCTTACTACGGAAGGTGCCATGACACAGAGAAGCTGAAGCTGAACCGGCAGCCTTGACCTGCAGCCTTGCCTGCCTCCGGCTCGGTGTGGGGCTTCCTAACGCCTCGGGACGAGGCCGAGGAGACGGTGGGTGTTGGAGACACAGGCTGGGCTGCTCGGCGGCAGCAGCCCGGGAGCCGGGGCCAGGGCTGCTACGAGCTCTGGGCCGAAGCAGCTGCGGACCCAAAACGYGGACTGCAAAGCTCCAGGGACCCCGGTCATTAAAGGCTTTCAACAGCAGACCCCTGGCTTAATTAAAGTCTGATTCACGTAAGAGCAGCAGAACCTGGCGCGTACAAGGAGTTTCAGTGGAGCTGGATTTGCCTTCTGCAAAATGCCAGAGTTACACGAGTGAAAGAAAACCAAACCCCAGCCTTCCCCACATGGCTTGCTGCACGTCTAGCCCCTGAAGAAGCCCAGCACGTTTCCCCCATACATATAATACATATATGCCCTCTGCATTGGCAATCCTGTGCCCAGCTCAGGGCACAGGCCAAGAAGAAAGCATGCGGAGGGGTAAACTTAAACACAGACACTGTGCAGAGCAACYTCACTATTTTACAGTTGTGAAGGTAGTGAAACACTCCCCGCGAGCAACACATTTGTTTAGGGAGGAAGTTTCCAAGCAGGTGATAAAAAAGGAGTAAAAAGAACCTAAGCAAAGCTATATTAAGGAGTCTAAAGCAGCTCTTTGGGTTAGGACTGTTTCGGGTCGTGCCTCACCAAGCCCCGACAGCTGCGGTWGGTTRAGCTGCCCCTTCCCAAGCACTTTGMACCTCCCTCACCAAATCTGCGTACGCGCAGGGAAAACCWGCCTAGCGGGACACGCTTCAGCCACGGGGTTTCTGAACTGCTTTTGCACTGCTATTGAATGCACCCTCTCTGGAAACAGCAATTCTCAGGAAACAGGGTGGCCCTTCGCTTTTGGACACCGGTTAATGTGCAGAGCCAGGCTTTAGAACCTGACCTTACTGGAGAAAATCCAGATTTTATRTCATGAGACAGCAGTCCAGTTATGAAAGCTACTGCCCTGCCTTGTAACTACTTCCAGGAGGAGGAAAGGAGAAGGAAAGCACCGGAGCAAATTCCATATGGGAAGGGAGTGGCAGCTGTGCCTGGCTGCGATGCTGGCAGTGGGAAACGCAGGCTGCATTCGCCCCCCAGGGAGCAAGCGAGTTGGTAAAGCTCAGCTTGGGTCTACCCCTGTCACTGCCTGTCTGGAATCTGCCTTTCTGTGACATGGTAACATTTAAAACTTACTCCTAAATCGTCAGGTAAATATACAGCATTGGGTGACTGCAATCCAGGCCTCCAAGAGCCATGGGATTTAACTCACTTTACAAACGAGATTCCCCAGTCACTGCAGCAAGACAACACATACTGACCTCCGCTTCATCAGGAAAACATCAAATGCTGCTAATTAGTTTGGTTTTAGCGGGGGGAGGTTTCTTCCCTATAAGCAACCACCCCCACCCCAGCGGTGGTGGCCCCAGCTTGCCCAGCTCCCAGGTACCGTCAGGACAGCGGGAACAGCACCGAGGAAGCCTCCAGCGCGGGCAGGAGGGCCCTGTGAAGGTCCTGAGCATTCCCAGCTCGACTCCAGCCCAGCCYCGAAGGCTGCCGCTCACCGCGAGTCCATCAAAACACACCCGACACCTTGCAGGAGATGGACACTCAAAACCCACATCCCTCTGCAAAGCTGTCACACACTGTCCTCCCACGGGCTGGGGACTCCTTGCCCCGTGGGCCAGCACAGAACAGCTCCTTAAACGAGCAATAAAGTGCCAGATCTCACATACAGGGTAGGACAGTTCCAGCTGCAAGACAAAAAATGGCAAATCAAGTTCATTAAATATTTAATAGAGCAGTTTCCCAGAAGACTCCGGAGCAGAATCGTTACCAGACTTCTATAAAGTATATATATTTCAGATCTGAAAATTTGTCTTTATTTTTTACAAAACGGATTCCAGGAAGTTTAAAAGGCAATATCATAGAGGACTTAGGTGCAGAAATCAGGTGAAGTCATTTGAAGCATTCAAGTAGGAATATGGTAATATAAATATTTGAAAAGCATCTTTTATCATAAATGTTCAAAACAAAATGTATAACTCATTCCAAACTAAAAATTGAGCTTTAGAGCCACATATTTCCCTGAACAGAAAAAATAAGTAACTTTTGAAATATTTCTAAAGGCCTGAAAGCTTTTTTTGTTTTGTTTTTCCTTGGTTAGTTACAYTAGGAGACTTGCCTTTGATAAAATCCCTTCCTTTCCGAACACGGAAAGCATCGCGTCAGTCAGTCCACCGTCAAACCAGCCAATATGTCRCAAATTAATTCTGGAATATGGTGTTCCAAGAAAGCCTAAAGGATAAAGGTGCTGAGGTGGCTCCGAGCTCAGTAGTCATCGCCCCTGCTGACGACTTCCTTGCACGTGGGGCGCAGCAGGATCGTGTGCTCGAACTGCGCCGTGTAGGAGCCCTTGATGTCGCACAGCGGCGGGTAGGGATCCACGATGCCCAAGTCACAGAGGTTCTTGAGGGCCATGAGGTACTTGCTCTCGCCGAGGCGATCGAGCCAGCGGCGGCAGAAGGCCAGAGTACCGAAGTTCTCGTTGATGACGTTGAGCAAGTGCTTGGCTCGCGGCAGCCTGCGCGGGAAACGCAAGGAGAGGCGCTGACGCGCGGCCGAGGCGCCGGGCGCCACGGCAGAGCTTCCGCCTCCCGCTGCCTTCAGGCTGCCCGGGCTCGGGGGACCCTCCTCCGTGAACGCAGGCGCCCCTTCCCCCTGCAGAGGGGCGCCCCCGATCCCTTCATCCCCACCTACCTGCCCCAACAGGCGGCACGAAAGTCACAGCCACGCGGGGTAGCACAGCACCGCTCGCACCCCTTGTTTCACACAGAAGAGACCCCTCCTGACCCAGAGCCGCGAATATTCCAAAGCCATGAACCTATTCCGGAGCCAGCCTGGCACAACTCTGAAGTCCTGCTTCTGAAGTCAGCCTGTATTTCTAATCCTGAGAGCCTTCAGTTCTAAAGACGCTGCATTGCTCTAAGTGCTCTTGCAACTAAATTGTAACTAAAAATTAAGAATCATTTTGATGATAATCATCAAAAATTAGGAAGCAGTGTATTGCTATAAAGTAGCATGGATGTGTAAACCACTCAATAATTAGCCAATCAAAATAGATGACCTGAATACTTTAATAAGACTTCTCCTAGAAAATAGCTGTATGCCACAATGTTAAGATGCCAAGATGTTAATATAGGGCTTTTACTTATATGTTTAGTATATAATAATATGCCAACATAACCTACATATTTATATAACTATTGCAAGATTTATTAATGATAGGAAATTTTTAAAACTGCTTTAGATTTGTGAAGGCATCATGTTTATGTCATTTCCCTATTCTTTGGAATATTCTTTATTACTCCACATTTAATGGCACACACAGATGTGTGTTTCAGAGCATCTCGTTATTTTATAACAAGAGGATTACTGTCACAGGACCTTTCTGAGGCCTCTGACAGCCTTAAAATTAGCACAGACTGGCGTTGCACTATGTCTGGCTTGTAAAAGGGCGACGGCTTTAGTGCAAAATAAGAACAAGAAAAATCGAACCTTATTGGCACATGCCCAACATCAAAGTTCTTCATGTAATGAGAACACTCCATATCATCATGGACGACACCTTTTCCTGTGCTGCCAAAGGTCTCTATAGCATATACTTCACCTTCCTGAGAAAAAGAAAAAAATAAGGAAAAAAAAGGAAAAAAATAAAAATACACTATGAAACTAAGTGTTGATGACAATCTCAGTATCACCATTTATGAATACAAGAAATTAAATGTTAATCAAAGGAGTGAAAAAAATTGATACCGTAATTGCATATAGTAGTAAWGATATAGATATCTCCAATTAAACAGCTATTAATACTGCTTTATTTGTCTCAAGCCATAAATACTATCATGTTTCTAGTCACACAATTTCTTGAAGTCATTGCTGTTACAGTACTGCCAAAGCATACATCTAACACAGCTAAGAAACTACACTCTGATGCAAAATATTTGCTTAATTGGAAATAATTCTGGGCTATTCAGATAGAAGTCCTAGAAAATGTGTAATGCAGACATAGCAAATGCTGTTTACAAACACTTACTGCACTGAAGCACTTTCTGCTCAATTTCTACAAGAATTTTCTGGTAACAGCTGCTAGCATAAAACCTTAACCTGCTCCTTTCCACTCCACAAGATGAGTTTCTTCAAGAAAGGAGGGTGATAAATATCTGCAAGGGCATTATCAAATTCTAGCCAAGAATGTATTGGAATGCCATTATATAATCTCATTTTTGCCAAGTGCATTCACATCTCCCTACTGGAAGGGCTSAAAGGAGATTAACAGGACACGGTATCAAACATTGACAACTGCAGTTCCATCYCTCAGTTTGCCAGGCAGTTCTGAAAGCCCCAATCCCAGAACAGGAATCCATATGTGAACCAGTGGTACAGGCTTCAAATTCAGGAAGAGCATTCAGGATATTTTCAAGAATTGAACCGGCTTCACTGAGCAGCCACCTTGAGAGCCACTTCCCACCGACTTGCTCTCAAGAGGAGACTGGGAGAGGCTGTACTGCTGACCCCCAAACTCACTGCATTGTATTCTCATACTATAATTAGAGCAGCACAGGAGGAGCCTGGCAGCGCTCCACGTTTCTCACAGGACACGATCTTACATTATTAACRACCAAGTAACACAGAAGCTAAAGAACATTAAAAAGAAAGTCTTCTCCCCAGTGCCTGTATAGTCTATTAGACACAGTCTCAACAGCTCAACTAAAATTTGATTAAAGATTCCTTAAGTTTTTTTTTAGTAACACCTCAAAGATAGGTGATTTGCAGATGTAGCCACGCACATAGCTCAAGCAAGGTCACCGCACGCTGCTTCCGCCTTGCTTTCCCAATGCTCTCTGATCCTTTCTGTGTGCTCCTAGAGAGACTAGGGTAGTTCCAGCTCCCTCTCTTTGCCCATATTTTTAACCAGGTGGCGAACAGCTATACTCTAACTCTAGGAGGATGGGAGTGAGCCTGTTTCAGGAAAAATACTCTTCCTCCTACTATTATTAATAAAAGCAATCTTGTCTAGTCCCTTTCTACTCCTATTCAGGTCTTCAAAGTTTTGTTTACTAGTGATCACTGATGAACCAGGCTTAAAATGAAATTAAAAGCTTCTTAGTCCATTACCAGTCTAAATAAACCTTCTTATCTTGCTATAAGCCAAGCATACATCAAAATAGTCACTTGATAAAATCTGAGGCTACATATTTTAATGCTGCTTTTCTGATGGACACAATTCCCCCTCATCAACAAGGACTTCTCTTCGGCTCCAAAACGCTATTCAAGTCACAGACTCCATTCAGCTTCTCATATTAACTACAAACGTCCTCAATTATTTTGTATCTGGAAAGAAAAACTGCACTGGGAGTTTCTCAAGAAAGAGATGGTAACTAAGTGCATTTCCAAAATGTTACCCACAGCTACAGAAATACTTCCCAACTATTACTTGAGCAAGAGAAGCTTCTTACTTTGTCATTTTGACAACAGAATGAGTAGACATGAAAAAATGTAAATGAGTAGCAAGCCCAAACACCTTTGGAATCTCAAGCCTATCCTGAAATCTAAATTCCCAACTTTTTCCCTKGTTACTAGGTCTAGCATTACAATATTTTAAGTAAAGTTTATATATTCAGAAATGAATATGCAAGAGTTTACTCAAGCACCTCCAGTGCAATTGAGATTTCAAGTGTYACAGCCCAAGACCCCAGTTTCAGAGCATTAGACACCAAAACACCGATGGGGGCAGACAGAGAAGCCTTAAGCCACTGAGGGGAAGACGTCTCCCAAGTCCACCAGGGTCACGAATATCACACAGGCACCACACATGAAAAGCACTCGAGGAAATGCTCGTGGGGACATTTAGGGAAACTGTTAACAGAAAGATGTAAGAACACTTTTTACCTCCATTCTTGTTGCCTCTCCTCCTTTCACAATGGGCACTGTTTTTCCAGCATGTATCCTGTAGGGCCCAATGGAGTGGCCATTCAGATTGCGAATTGGCTTCACTTTGGAAGAAAAACACAGCAGGTGAATCCCTAACTAACCTTAAACCCCTAACTGCAAACTGCTCTATTAGCCCATATTAAAAGCACAACAGTGACTCATCAGGTTACAGAAGGGCTGAACAGCCCTCCTGTACAAATTCCTTTCACATACTGTAACGCAGCTTCATGTCTTATTCCCTAGTGGAATTGAGAGTAAAGTTACTAAAGTCAACAAGTAGCACRTTATTTATTTTAAAAACAGTTGCCAAACCTCATCTTTTCTATTAAAGATTATTAAAGCAGTACTTTGAATATTTGCAAGGAATAGCTGAGAGATACATTACTCCAGAGTAGAGCAAACCAGACAGAAATGCATATTTAGCCAAGTTACCTATATCATGCTTCTAGTACAAATGTCTATTTCAATACAGTATTAAAAATAAATATTTGTGCAAACATATATACTCTGAAAATCACTATCCTCACACAAAAATAAACAAACAGAAAAAGAACTTGCCTTGATAGGTTTTGCCATCGATTTCAACCTCGTAAGACTCCATAACTTCCTGGATGGCCTCTCCAACATCGCAGAGACGCACATCTATTCCAGCACACTGAAAATAAGGTGAAAATATAAACGGAAAATAATAAAATAACAACAAAGCTTTTATAGAATGACTCAGTAGTGTGCATAATGAATGTACCTTTATTCCAGTGTTAGTGGCATCCTTTACTGCTTGTAATAGTCTGTCATATTTTGGATTGAACGTGACTGTAAAAGCACAGTCAATAATACGACCTGAAATCAGCAGACATTAATAAGCTTCACAGTCCTAACATGCTTAAATGTGCTTTAAACGCTGAAGCACATTTAATAAAAATGAGTTCATAAATAAGTAAAAACTAACCGCTAATATGGGTCCCAAAATCTATTTTGCAAATGTCATCGTACTGCAGCACTGTGGGATCTCCAGCATTCGGAGTGTAGTGGGCAGCACAGTTATTCAGAGAGCAGCCCGTAGGGAAGGCCAGACCTGCATTCAAACCATTCTCTTTTATCAGCTTCCGCGAGCAGTCTTCTAGTTTTTCACTACAGGGCAAGAGGGAGGGAGAAAAAAGATTAAGTTATCCTTATGATCTTTTATGATGACTTCGAAAAAATTAATCCAAGAACAAACACTCAGAAAAGCAGTCCAGCAAATGCTTTAAACTGAAATTTCACAGTATTTGTATGTTAACTAGGAAGAAAGCCTATAATGGAAAAAAATAAGCACAAGATAATTATCTTTAACTCTCTATGTTGTTTCTTCTATTTTTTCTCTCAGGCAAAAATAGAGTCCTGGTGTTTTTATCTAATTTTAAAGTATGGGTCCTTTTCACAGTAAATTTAATCTAGTCTACCAGAGAAATGAAGGTGGTAAAATTAAGTTTAGGAAAAAGTCCGTGGAAAATAAAAAGAGAGAGAAAAAAAAAAGAGAGAAAAAAATATAACCTAGTAACTGTTAAGAACGTGACAGTACAGTTTTCCATTCATTCAGTCAAAAAAATTGAACTAAAGCAAGMCTTTTTTTAATTTTAATTTTAAGTAGTAGATAGGATAAAATAAAATCTTTAAACTAGCATTTGTCCTCATTTTTTCTCTATGTTTAAGCTTTTAACTTGAACTTAACTGGGAAKCTACAGATATAATAAGATCAGTGCACGCCCCTAAATATAGTTACAGTAAAGAGTGTAAAACATAACTCACATCAGGACAACATACTCCGATTTCATTTAAGAAAGCTATTCACTCGGAGCAGTCTGGAAAAACAAAAGCTCACTTTATACGGCAAGCTCCCATAGCCTGAAGTATTCTAGAATGAAAAATCATATTTTGAGAAAATTGCTGCTTATAACTAAGGCAGTCAAGCAACAGAATTGGGCACGACAGATCCGTTTCAGGCAGTCTAATGATTACAAAGACAGCTGCCTGCTGGCATATTATTTCTTTCCATTCCTCTCATGCAGCTACTCTCAGAGTCAGCTCCGAGTAGCTTTCTGCCTACCCTACTCTTCCCAGCACAGTCCTTGCTTGGATAAGGCTGAAAGCAAGTGATTTGGGAAATTAAACCACCCTGGATCTGTGCCACCTGGGCAGCAGACATTAATTCCAGATAAACTGGAGGCTGGAAAAAGGAGTAGGAAGAGCCAATAAAAGTCTAGGCTGATTATTCTCCTTAAAACTTTCTCCATATGAATGCTTACATACTAGCCAGCTTGTCCAGTTATTTATGATCTGCTGAGAGTAACACGAAGAAATGTTTGGGGTTTGCCCAGAAATGTCAGCAGTGAGGCCAGGACACAGAGACAGCCCCCGGTGCTGGCCAGGCGCAGGCGGCACCCGCGCTGCTCCTCCCCAGAGCCTTGCACCGACACCTCTGGCAAGGCTCACGTGGCTTTTGTCACCACTGCAGCTGCTTCTCCTGGCACCACTGGGCAACTTGCAGGCAAGAGCAGTGGASACACAGAACAGTAAAAATCAAAGGCATCGGTCAAACAGAACTGGAAGGTGAGTTTGCCTTTCAGTGCTGTTCCAAGCCTGGCAAAACTGCGTAAGCTGAACAGCATGTTAACAGAGGAAACTAGGAGGGATCCATTGAGGATACTGGTTCAGGGCTTCAAACAAGCAGCCCTATGAAACTCATGCTGCAGGTAGTTAAGCACACAAAAATCGAGATCCCCTCTGAAGTAAAAAGAAGCATCTATAAACCGAGGTCTCTGAGAAGACCTGTGTCCTCACCAAATTTCTATCATTGTCATTCCAGGCTTTATCCAGCTCATAACGTATTTCCTCACTTGTCTGTGTGCCTCTGCAGCTTCCCGAAAATCATTCCAGATTTCCTCACTGGCTTGGTCTAGTGCTTTCTTTTCTTCGCTAGTTGTCCTCCAAGCAGCTGTACGCCTTTTAAAGAGAGTGTAAGCAAAGGCTGTCAGAATTACAGTAGTCATTGCAGCACCTAACGCAGCACACGGCAGCTCTGACGCTTGTTGAGAAGCTCCTTCATTCACATTCCTTATTTGCTGGACAGCGAGTACCACACGGTTGCAGGAGAGTATCACTTACTCTGGCTTTTTGATAGGGTCATGGAACAAATACAAGAGTTTTGAATAGAAGACTATATACAGGATTAATTTTCAATATTCCTTTTTTATACAAAAAACCCACACAAATAAGGTTCCAAGAAAACACACAATTTAAAACACTGTCAACTGTCTGAACATAACTAGCCCTGTGCATGCTGTGCAAAACAAGTACTACCCAAACCAGTACAAATCTACAAGTCCCCTAACATACAGAAAGGGGACCTAAGGAAAAAGACAGTGGACAAGACAGAAAGCAGATGTGAGGTATGCTCTAACTTGATGTTTTCTTTTTGAACTTGTAAATTCATTTTTAGCTTCACGTAAGTGGGTTGACTCCAAGCTAGCAAAGGAGTAGGAGTTAAAGGGTAACTGTTTGAAATACAGAAATGAAATATGGAAATCCAGTTACCTCTTTCATGGAATCACTCCACTAAGAGGTCCCTTCACATCCAAAGAATAAATGTGCAACTGAGCAAAGAAAATATGCCCCACAAGTTTTTTGAACCACATATTTATACAATATTAAGAGATATGCGTTCCTAAAACAGACTTGAGGAGATAAAGGGTAACAAGCTCTTTCGTAAGATTTTTCTTAGGATGACTTCAGGATCTAAGTATTTTGAGACATTTCAGCTTCTGCCCTTTGAAATTCCTCCTCCTTTTCAAATAAAGAGCAGCATAACAACAAACAAAGAGAAAAGACTTCATGGATATTTTTCTGAAAAGTTTTCTTGCTCTATGAGCAAGCATCATACAAACGACCCAAATCCCTAAAATTTGCCTCCACACTGGTGAATCCCRTCAAAAAAGCACGAGGCTGCTGCAGCACTCGAGTCTGCTGGCAGCAGCAGGACACTGGGCTGCTGCCAGCACAGCAGCCAGGGTTCAATCCGACAGAAAAGGCCTTCCAGAAAGCAGGAGGGGAGAGGACTCAGGGGCTCCTCCAGGCTGCTGGTAGCACCTGCCAGGAGCAAGAAGTGCAGGAGGAATTCGGGCAGCTGCTCGGCCATCGGAGAATCAAGCTTAAGCTCCAGCAAGCTGGCAGGGAGCTGTCCTGGCTCCATCATAATGAAAATTCAGTGCCCTACAGAGAGAAGTAGGAGCCTTTTACATGAGGGGAAAAAAATATACATATATATGTGTGTATGTATATATATCAGATCAAAAGCTGTTTGCTGCCGAAGTTGTGCCACTGCCATCTGGGAACTCAGGAAAAGAGGCCACCAGAAATTCTATTTTGGCCTTAGTACTTCAAGAGACAGGCAAAAAAAACAAGTGAACACCAAGTACTCTAACAGGTACAGGGAGATAACAAGTCTTCCTGAGGATGTAGTTTCCTCATGTGTTGGTTTCCACATACATCAGCATAAGAAGTTCACCTCTTSATCACAGTCCTCTATTTGTGCTGCTGCCTCTCTAGAGGACTGTGYGGTAAACTGGATTTTAGGATCCAAAGCAAGAACCCTAGGTAAGAATTCCCCCAGATTATTTTAACCCATATAGCAGCACAGGGGCACAAAGAAACAGCCATCAATACAGGATAAGAATTTAGAGTCAGCTTAACCAAAATAATCCTGTAATGAAATACTGCTTATAGCCTTTCTGCTTTCCATGCAGAGTTATTTCAAACTCTGATTATTTGATAAAAATGCAAGGCYTCAGACAGAACTAAATAATCAAGATTTTAAAAAATTAGTTGCAAGGTTGTTGTCTATAAATGTCAATTTGTGATTTTTCACTCTAAAAGTGAATGAAACCCATTTTATTTCAGCTTCCCACACAAAATGCCATCCTCGGCATAATGAGAGGTAATTTTATAAAGCATCCAAGTGTTAGGAGAAAAAAAGTGTAGGAGGAGAACAAAAATGCTCCATGAACATATAAAAATGAAACTTGCTCAAAATAGGAAATATTCTGATGYATGTCAACTGCTCACTTAAGTAGCTGCCTATGCTTGGAAATTCTAAAGCAGCGCATAATATTTTAAAAGAACTAAACTATGCATATATTTGCTTTAATGGAATTATTAAAAACAGCTATTTCAGGTTGCTTGGAAGAGTATATTCTTCTCCCATTATAGAATACTCTTGGTACAGGAAAGATGTCCCACTCAAAACCACTTAAGCTCACTTACAAAAGCTTATTTAAAATAAAGAATAGTAAAAACAAGAGTAAAACACCTAAACTTCAATAGGTGGCTGCGTAACAGATGTAGAATTTGCACATGTCATTTGTTAATAAATTATGGATGACATGGTGTAACCATTTGCTAGGTTGCTTAAACTATATTATTCTGAATGAGGCATACACGTGTAGGCACTTCCTAAAAAACATTCTCAAGGGAAACTAGTATCTGTGAATATCTGGACAAAGCTGATAGAATATATTGAACTCAAATACATTGTTGATCCCTTGTCAGAAACAGGCAGTGGCTTTAGGCAACATGTAAGAAYTACAAAATCATTTAATCTTGGCAAAAAAAGAGAAAAAAATCTTGAAAAATAAACAATGCTTTCCAAAATATAAGTATTTTCTACTCTTCTGAAGGTGATTTTTGATTAAAAACTCCCTGGAAAGATTTCAGAATCACATTTGGTCTTTTAATTCAGATTTTCATGCAATTTATGTTTATTTTTCCCCTATCAAATCAAAAATAGCCTTTTATAACACTAAACATACATAYATGAAAGACACCCCTCCAAACTGTTATTTAACTGTCTTTCACCTCACTAAATTTTGAACCTTCACACAATTGCAATTCCTAAAGCTTCCCCCTATTTCCCCTTACAGAATCACAGAATATTCAAGGTTGGAAGGGACCTCTAGAGATCATCTAGTCCAACCTTCCCGCTTACAATCTATCTCGCGCTTCCCAATCTTACAATCTATTAATGCCATGTTAGGCCGTTGGTCCCCAGTCTCAGAGCAATTCTGCTCTAACAGTCTGTATCTCAATTAAAAGAGTAGGTAGGGAGGAACGTTTCTGGCCTAGTGACTCTTAGTTGATAGAGGATCCAGTAAAAAATAACATTATAAATCGCTATGTTCTTATCCATTTAGTTGTACATTAATAGTTTGCAAATCAGCACTTCCTGATGAAAGCATTTATATTTTAAGCTCAAAGTACTTACCCATCCTGAGTTGAAGGATATTCACATTCTTCACCCTTTGGAAATACGTTGCTGGGATATAGATCACATATTGGAATAGAAGGTGGATCTGTCTGGACCTTTGCTGTTGAGTATAGTTTAAAAAAGTTTTATATATAAATGGCACATTGGAAGATTTCAAATCCTTATTTCAACTGTTSGACAAATTAAAAAATGCAACTTATTTTAGATTGCCTTAGTCGGATTTGGGCTTTTACCCAGAAGACATCACATCATGATGTCCTCAAATGGCTTAATTTTGTCAACACTTAAGTTGGCATTCAGGGATACCAGAAAGAAGTCAGACTTGGCATAAGAATCCAAACTGCATCCCAAAGTTCGTTTCTACTGCCAGCAACAGCACTTAACATAGGTCTATTTGAAAACTCATGTAAAAACTATCTTTCTTTTTGTGCTAGATACCTACGTCCTTTCTTCTTTTTCTTCTTCTTCTTTTTTTTCCCTGCTGCTCCATCTCCTTCTCCATCTCCATCTAGAAGATAATAAACATACAAATACACATGCAAGTGTGTTTGGTAACTACAATTTCAACATAAAAGTAGTGATCAAACATAAAGCAGTGATTAAGAACCAAACAATTTTAAAGGAGATGCAAAACTATCCGGGCCAAGCACTTCTTTCAGAAGAATTAAATCCAATGACTTAGGAGGATTTATGGAGTGCTCCCCAATACATATGCAGCAAGCAGTGGATAARACGAAGCTGCCACCAAGACACTAGCATTTTCAGGTTCCTTCCCAGACCAGAGCCAGACATAAAAAAAAMCCCCTACCTTTCTACAGTGTTACTACACCAGCTTTCAAAATGCTTGCAACATATCAGTTTTCAATAAGTACTATAAATTTCTCTATTCTCAGTTCTCCCACAGTGAAGCTGAAGAGAATGGGGGAGAAGCATATTAGATACCACAACTAAAAAAAAATCTAGGAATGTACTTAGAACCAATCTCCTGCTGCCTTATTTAAGGGAAACTCCACAGGAATGAGGGGGAAAAACAGACAAACAAAAAAACCCCAAACAAACACAGGAACAAGTAGAAGTGGCAGCACTCAGCCCAGAATGGAGCTATACTTGGAAATATAGTAAGGGTGACAGTCAGCACTGGACCAAGCAATTGTGTACCACTGCAAAGCAGGGTATGCAAGCAACAAGTATCAGTCAAATTCCACACCACAGCCACCTTTCAGAGATAATAATATGCCTGTAGACTTCATGTTTGGTTACCACTAATGCTTATTTACACCTCACACAAACTATTTTAATATTTTTAAATACTATCTACTTGCACCTTCTGGACCTAACCACAATGTGATTTCAACACGGGCCTGTCCTATCCATCCGCATTTGGAAYACCAAGACCATTTAAAGCAAACAGTAAAATTGTAAAAACTTTCAAAATCAAACAAGGCAAAGCACTGCTGTTTCAAATGCACTTATACAAAATCCAGTATTTGTTCACTCACTTTAAATGATGTTCAGCTATTCCTGACACTAGACTTCAAAACCTTTTATGAAGGTCAATGTCATCTCAATTTTACATGGCAGCGACTGCTGCAATCCTGCCATKGAGGCAAATTTCAATAGTGCAGCCTCTAAGTTCACATCAGCATTAAGTATCTCATTTTGAAATCTTAAAGGTGTGTTTTGTAACTGCAATTTATTCTACATTATCAGATTCTCCTTCAACATCTGTTTACCAGGAAAATAATCACCTCTTAGCAGCACACGCATATTTCTTTGTAGCATGGTAATTTACCATGTTTCTCTTGACCTTGAACTCTGCTCTAACCATTCATTAAGAAAGAATTTCAACATAACTCCAGCTCATTCACCAAGTGATTTAGGGAAAAATTTTAGAATCCTAGGTTGAACCTGCAAAACCCAGCAACATTTCTTAATTTCTGAGTTACTATTTGCTTATTTTTTTAAGAAAAAAAAATGCTGATGCACATGAATCTGTCAATTAGCAAAGCAAACTATCTGGGCCGATGCTTTCCTTGAAGATTGCTGCAGAGCAGCAGTGCTGCCAGGAACATAACTACTGACCCAACTAGTGCCTCGTTCACCTTTAGGTTGTTTAGTTGACACGGAAATACATGCCAGARAGTGAAAAAAAAAAACATCGCAAAGTAACTATTTTTTCCCCTGAAAATATGCCCAAAAATATACTCAAGTCAGATGTGGAAAACAAGATTATTATTTCATAGATGATATCACTTTACCTTTTTTATTTGGTGACAACTGCTAGCACACTGTAAAAAGCATATGCAATTACGATGCTTCATCTACAAATATACTACTTCTGAAATGAAAAAAAGCTTTTCACTGCAGGAAGTTTTCACTATTCTCCCCAATGTTTCCTGGCTTTGTCGCAAACAAGTAAAAACACACACTGTATTAACGTAACTAACTACTTTTCAACTCCAGAACTTGAAATACACCTGATGGAAGAATAATCCATCAGTACATATTCTATGAATACTAAAAACATAGAACTGGATGCTATACATAGATGAAGAGGGCTTAAAGATCAGTATATTTGTAGCTTTCTATATGTCACCACACTTTCTCATTTCAGATTCTGCTATTACATCCTAGAATGATGTATCCCAGAAATGGTCTGCAAAGAAGTTTTTTGAATAGAATGAAAACATTTTAGGATGCTCAGCTCATTTTTATTGAGTCATCAAAACAAAGACATCAGTATTTTTATCTGACATACCTACATATAAGAGGCATCTAATTTGTATTTCAGTATCAGACATTTTCAAGGTACTTATTTTAAATTTCAGTTGTGTGATGYAAGGTGCACGGACTTGCCCATGTATTAACCTCTCCACAGTTCAAGTTTAATGAAAAATCAGGATTGCAGAGAAATATGTTTCAAGTCATTGGTAAACATTAAGCCAGGATATAAATTGAAACGCTTCTTCCCAAATTTCACTGCATGTTTTATTCAATGCCAAGAACTACAGTTTGGAACATAAGCTTTTACAGCAAATGCTAATATAAATGAGAACGAYTTATACCTTGCCATATTCTTAAAGCTAAGCCTTTCTCTTCAATAAGGCCACAGGAAAACAAAGTCTTTAACAAAGTTGTTACCACATTTTTATGCACATRCATATATATACATTCACACACATAATATACAGATAAAAGGCTGAACTGTTACAAGAGAAGCAACAGATACAATGAAATGCCATGCAATGCATCTATCTTCTCTAAAATAACTGAAACAAGAAATCTTCAGACATCTGAACAATATGTGTTAAGATACAGCGTGTCTTGAGTTTGGGAAAAAAATAAAATTGGAAGCATTAGCACAAAAACATGCATGTACTTACCTTCATCGTCGTCATCTTTTTCTTTCTCCTCCAGTGTCTGTTTATCCAACTGTTTTGCTACATCATCAAGGGCACTTTCCCCTTCTTTATCTGCTTCTTGTCCTGCTTGTAAAATTAAAACATGACTCAATACAAAAGGATACCTCTACACCAGTATGCAATAACCTCCAGCTCCATACAGAAACGCTCCGTTTCAACTCTTCCAACAGACAGATCACAACAGAGAAAAAGCGTATTTTATTTCCCCCCAGTAAACCCAGCGCGGCAAGCACACAGCCACAGCGCCCAAAGTGACAAGTGCCATTATTAAAGCGCGAGTGTAAGCAATAACGTTAAACGAACACCCCTGATCCCCTGTGCCTGTCTTTTTGCCCGGCCAGGGCGGCGAGCTCCGCTCCGCTCCGCCCCGCTCCGCTCGCCGCCGCCCGGCCTGCGCGGGCCCGGTAAGGCGGATGGCGGCCAAGGCACAGGGCGAAGGCACAGGCTCCTCGGAGCGCCGGCCGGGCCGCGCGGCGGCTCCTCCGCCCGCGAGGCTCCGCCAGGCCGGAGGGCTCCTCCCGCGGCGGCCCTGGCGCCCCAAGGGCGGCCACGAGGCTGCTCCCGCGGCGCACGTCCCTGCCGCGGGACGAAGGCCGGCAGCATCCTCAGCATCCTCCCGCCGCGGGGGCGGCACGGGG